TCTATTTTTTCCTATTGTTAGTCATGGTTTGCAGGAGTTTTATAATCACAGAATGAAACAGCTGTAAAAGACGAATGCCCCCTAAATTTTTCAGCTCAGTTTATTAACAGAAACTATAAAAATCATTATTAATTTTTATTATTTAATTTTTTTAATCTTATCTACTTTCTGGTAGATCCAAACTAGCACAAAACAAGTTAAAAAGCACAAACTCACAATAGAGGATATGACTGAGCCACCTCAATTAGATAGGAGACCAAAATTCAGAAATACTGCTAAATCAAAATGGTATTTACATGTAAATATTTTATCTTGGATGTAAATTATCTGTCTAAGCACCAGTAAAATCAGTGAGGCCTACACAGACATCTCACGCTAACACTCTTAAGTATTTTCCGTCTCAGGGCTTTACTGAAGCAAATCGCAGATACCGCAAATTTGAGGAGTAAAACTGCAAACAGGTGAAGAATAGCACAATAAGAATCATACACTCTTTTTATCATTTTACAGATATATCTATGCATGTTTTAAAATAAGAGATTCTACTCCACATTCTCCCAACCTTTCCCCAACTTCATTGGATCCCACTCTGCAGAAAATTCCCAGAAGCCTGAGTTGTGGCTGTGGAAATGGCATCAGCTTTTCTTAAAAACACCTTGTGTCTGGCAACACTACCAACGTGGATGTTTGTGTCTTATACCCCTCAGTCACAGCTGAGATGTCATAAGTGAATCTAAAGAGTTCAACTGTAAGCTTGATGTTCAAAAAATAACAATTAAAAATAAAAAAAGCTGTTTCAGACAAGAATGTGCATTTACTTGGCCTTCTGCATATTCTAATAAGATTTGTATCTGTTGGGGGGGGATACAGGAAGAAAATATTCTGAAATTGAAAGCTTTGGTACATTCATGCCTTTTAAAACACATCTTAGCTTAAAACATTTGTTTCAGGTCACTTTTCCTGTCAATGATAACCTGTACTATACACCAATTTAATGAAAAGGCTTTTAGAAAAGCTTAGCTATAGTCAAAATAATAACAATGCAAAACACCTCAAATTACAATGTTAAGAGAACATTTACTACTTGGAAATTTTATGTAATATTTGATCTTTAAAAATCATGTTTCAGAATTGGTTTCACTTCCATGGATTTTAAACACCAGAAGTAATGTCAGTTGACGGAAATTTCTTATAAGCATCCTGTAAGTGGTGATCTAGTAGTATGTAGTAAAAAAAAAAACATTATTAGCATTTAACACCCTCCAAGGAAGGATTTAAAAACATTTATGAATACCAAAGGACTATGTGTCAACATTACAACAGGTACTAAAAAGACCTTACCACTATTTTCTTGACTGTCCTTACCCTATACATGATGGAACAAAGAAAACTACACTTTCTTGCCTAGTTTCAACTGTTGAGTCTTCACAGGCAGTCTGGTAGGAACAAGAATGAAAATGAATCAGAAACTATGTGAGAATTCAAAGCAAGCATTGAAAAAAACGTTGCTGACAAAATAATCCAGCTCATTCACATCCTCTCCTCCACATGCTCTTCTATTTCTGCTTCCAAAGGAAACTACGCAGAAGCACAGAAAAGTCTACACAGCATTTTGAACCAAACTAAAGTTAGAAAGGAGAAACCCTAATAGAAGCAGCAAAACCTTTAGATGCCTTGCCCAAAGAATTTAGGCTGACATGACCAGGGCCAGGAGAAAAGTCACCTGAATTGCCAGTTCAAGTTCTGCTGCCAAGTCACACTGTGGAAGGTTTTAGGCAGACCTGCAAGCTTCTATTCTTCAGGTTCTCTCATCTGTAAGTCGTACTTATCCAGCACTAGGTTTATAAATGAAAAAAGTTTCAGATGGATATATTTGAGGAACACCTCTCTAATCAAGAGTGCTGTTTCACTGCCAGAACTGCCAAGTACAGTGTATTTACCTCCTGTGTAAAGTACGAGAAAGAAACTGATGTCCAGTTTCTCGTTTATACCGGAGACACTTATTCCTCTCACCCAGTCTGTGGAAACAAAGAATAAGCAAGCACTTAGCAAAAGCTGAGGTTTTCTTTGTCCTCGTAGATCTCAGGTGGTTGCACAAACAAGTGGCTCCTTGCACGCACAAAACCATAATTTTCTCAGGCATGGCAATATGCCAGGCCTACCTGTACCAAACTCATTAGGTTAAGGTTTCCTTTTAACCTAACTAAAGATTCCTCAAGTAGCATTAGAGAATCTTCCTGCCCACAGCTTTTCATGAGAGGAATCTTGTTGTTTATTTGTCATCTATTGTATAGCTTGACTTAACCTACCTCTCCCCTCTTACACTATTGGAAGGACTACTCAAGAAGATTGCAAGGTACTTGAACTGTGCTGCTCACAACCCTCCTATAAACTTTTTACGGCTTTCTCCATATATACATGACCCAATACCACGCACAGAAAAGCAGAGGGTTCTACCGTGCACGGCCATTTGGAGCCCAAGAATTTTGCCAGGACTGCTCTGCTGTAAAAGTAGGTATTCAATCTAATAAAACATTCCAAAATCACTTACAGCCAAATCTACTCTACCATGTTCTAAATAATCTTTCATCAGCAGTGCAGTGCACAGTTCACAGGTTGCATGTTTCTCTCCTCTTGTTAGCACAGCAGCTGACTTTATGAAGGAGTGACACGCTCTATTTCCTGCAGAACAAACTTCCAGATATTAGTGTCTCAAACAAGAAGAGTTAGTTCCTAAGGTTAGTAGGGGAACTACATGTTTTTGGTACAGAAATATTGTGCTTCTCTGGTGCCTCTCTCCTCATCAATTGTAACATTGAGGCTGCAGCTGAAGTCTTAAACTAACATGTAAAGAGGGGCAGGAAAGAAACACCCCACAGATTGCATTCTCTTTTGGACTCCTGCTTTAAAATTTAAGTGAAGTTTGTTGAAAGAAAGAAAAAAAGGGGGGGGAGGGGTGAAGTTGAATCACCTAAGATTACTAGTGCTTGACAAAATGAAAGATGTTTAAAGCAAGAAGATAAAAGAAGTGTGACAAGAGAAAAGGGCTCGCTTGGTCTTTATTCTTCTCTGGGGAAATCTCATCCATATTTTTGGTTTTTTTTTTTTTCTTTCTACAAAGTAGAATCATTTGGATTATCATGTGGTTTTCCCAGTAAATAGTTATCATTCTCTAAGAAATATTGCCACACAGAAGCTGTCTGTTGTTTTTATACATTATCAGTTGTAAGGAGCCTTGATTCTACTAAAGCCAGTAGAGCCAAATCACATCAACTGAGTGCGTAGTTTTTAGAAAGTTAAAAGTGTACTGAACATTTACACATATAAAATATTTTAAAAGCTGTGTATGCTTATTTTAAATACGCATTATATTTAGCAATAAAGCTGGTAATGGAAAATGAAATTATATAATGGCTAGCTCTCAAATCTTTCCATGGCTTGCTACATCAGCAATTTATTTATCCCGCTCTGCAGAGATGTTCCAAAATTATGTCATATTGTTATGTATGCGTAACAAAGCTGGGGAAAAACAGCTACATCAAGTTACTTTTTGAATAATCCAGAGAAAAATGCTTGGAGATTTATGGCACATAAGCAATCAGACTCTCTTCCCACTAGTAGCTGTTACTAAAGAAAACAGATTTCAAATATTGCTGCTAGCACTTCTTGGTTTCATTTTCTTCTGCTAGTTAGTGGTTTTGCTCTTTACAAATAATAGTGTTGCAACCTCCTGAATTATCATCTTTATGCCGCTTGAGATGCTGCAGTAAGCTATCATGCCTTCCATGGCTATATCAGCTGGCAGTGTCTAAGCTACCTAAGTATGTTTGTACAAGCTCTAATAGGGCTGCTGTGCAGACACTCCTTGCAAAACAACAGCAATTTATGGAACAACCTTCTAAGCAAGGCAAATATTTCATTTGCTTAAATAATTGATAAATACAATCTTAAAAGGAAACATTTCCATAATGAAAGCAAACAAGCTGGAAAAGAAAAGGTTGCTACTTAAAATAAAAGTTAAGCATTCAAAATCATTCTACTTGTGAAACAAGTAACAGTTTTCTTTCCCGTAAGCAGCAAAACTGATAGGAGTAACTTCTGCTGCTGCAATAATTGACACACAGAGAACATTTATTCAGAAAGACCAAGTAGCTGCTAAGGGAGTACAAGGCAATCACAAATTAAAGAAATGGTTATATTCAGGACAGAAAAAGACAACCTGTTTGCACGGTTACTTAGAACTCTTTGCAATTAGCAAAGACATGAGGTAGCAAAACGTCAGTTGGCACAAGATTTAAGGACTTATTTCCCATTCATTTAACTAAACATCAGAAATTCTTCAAGGACACCTATTTATTCAGTCTTAACCTTCTAGAATTCTTGTCCTTTTACAAACCTAAGCAGTCAAATGAGAAGATAATTCCTGCATCATGCATCTCCTCTTCTATCCAAGGTTTCCATTTCTCTTAACTAAAACTCATGCCCTCTAAGGACTTTTTTCCCGTTAGTCTTCGTCTGAATCATTTTGGAGCCTTCTGTATCCCAGACACCTGCAAACAGCAGGACATTTTATATATTTTTGCAAGTGTCTCCCTTCACTGAATTCAAGACAATGGGCTGAATAGGTAGAAATTTCTGCAAGAGACTGTGAACACCCACACAGGACTGGCAGAAGTAGCTGTGTGCCTAGTTCAGAGATGACAGCTCCCACCTTAGGATAATGATATGAACTTTTTAGTAAGATGTGTTCCAAGGAGGGCAAAAGACAAATCTTGCTTGGTTTGCAGTGCTCAGTCTTCCACACGTGCTATTTTTGCCCTCTGATTTAAAGAAGATACATTAGATGATGGCTTACATGAGGAACAGAGTAAAACAAATAGTTTAAAAACTCCTAACAGGCTTATATGCATATAGGTAACTATGGAAAGTACTGGTGAGTAACAAATACATTACACAAATTAAAATAAATTTAAAAAACAGAGTCAAAAACATTAAGGAACTAAATTCAGTGCATAGTTTATTTGCAACAAACTAGCTAACCAGCTCTAACTGTAATTACATCTGATAAATCAGAAAGAAACAAATTAAATTAGGAGTCCCTAATCCTGTGACAGAAAGTTCAATAGGGCAATAACTTTTAAAAATTGAGACCAATTGCAATGAATATGCCTATATTTTATTTAAATAAACTATTTTCTCTATATAAAAGTTGGAAAGGCTTAAGTTTATTAAAACATAAGCCACAGACATTATGGCATGTAAGAAAAGTGGTGTCAAAGAACAAAGTCCAGATGAAATTTTGAATCTGCTGCATAGAAAATAATCCACCTGCACTTAGCTGAGTCAGGAGAGAAAGGAAGCAGACACAGCTACTTATTTCTACTGAGAGTTCTTTGCTTTTCAGCATGCTCCACAATTTTTTCTTCTACATAAAGTCCCTTTCGCTTTCTTACTGCATTCATGTACTTGCGGGCCTGGTTCTCTGAGTCTGCCTTTTCCCCAAAGTGCAAATATTCTTCCTCAGTGGTTGGCACCCAGAATGGGTCACTTGAAATGATCTATAAAAAGAAAAACAAAAAAGTAGTACAAAGGTTGATTAGTACATTTCAGATAATCAATCTCTGAAGTACAGCAGTATGAAAGTAGAGCAGATAGAATTTTCTGGGAAGTGTGCAATTAGTTATTTAAGCAGAAAACAAGAGCTAAGATACACTATGTAGCATTTGCCATAAGAAGCCCACAACAGCTTTTCAAATTCAGTTGCATTTATCTGCATACAAATTTTTTTTTTAAAGCAAATTTAATTGCCAGTCAGCAAACAATGCCAAATAACATCCAGAAAATTGTCAGTTTTCAAGAAGGAATTCCTTATTTAGAACATTATCTCACTATGATTTTATCAGAATTTAGAAGAACTGAAGGTTTCTGCTCATTTCTGTCCCCTATGTTCTTCAATCCCTCTGAGTTGGACAGATGGCTTAAAAACCATTGTTTCTGGTGCTAACATATTTAGTTGAGCTGTTCTTGAAGCTTAATATCTCAGGGGGCCTCCTCTAGAAGAGATTTCAGATCTAACGTGATCAGAGAATAACTGGATGTGTCTTTATCCCCAGTTCATCCTATATATCCCACACTTCTCAGACTACCATAGACAGTATGCCAAAGATGTAGTTATCTTTTCTAGTGTTATAAACATTTTCTTCTGACAGATACTTTTAATTGCCATATGATATTTCAAACTAAGCAAAATTTCTCAAAGCTTCAGTTACATATTTAATCCTAATTTAATACCTCATCTTAAATAACACCTAACAGTCACACAAATTACACTTTATGGGGAGTTAGGAAAATAACTACGGCAGAGTTATTTTGTATTAGGCAACACTGTAGGTTAAAACCTGCAAAACAGTATGTTAAGCCCCTAAACCAACAAAAATAGTTCTACTTTGTTACAGTTAAGTATATACATAGTCCTGGTAAATTAATGGAATATTACTCCTGCTGAAAGTAACATCAAATCTCAATGATTTAGGTGGGAAACGACTATGCATAGGGTTGGCTGGCTGAAAACCAAAAGCAAGCAGAGCTCAGAAATAAACAGTATGAAACTTAGCTTTCCAAATGTTTCTACATTTATTATTAACAAAAAAGTAAGGACTGTCTAACCACAGAAGAATCTGCCCAAGTCATACCCATTCTGATGTCTTGTACAGGGCCTTACAACCAGTGCCTAAAAATTTAAAGGGGATTCCTTGACAGCTTACGTCAATTAAAAAAATGAATGGTGCCCACTTGAAAGTTTTATCATTATTTTATGCATTAGAAATAAAGAAAAGGGGCAGTGAAGACTACTGGGGTTTTTCCAACTTTTGGGCAAAAAGTGCAAGTTGACGTGATGAAGCTGTAGTGATGTTCATACTGAACATGCTAATGATGGAAAAACACCAGGGACTTCCCCATTCATGCTCTGTCTAAAGAGCTGAACAAAAAGTCTCAGAACACATAAATAAGAAAAGGTGATTCATGCTCAATGGATTTGCTCCAGACTGCACTGCTGAGGAAGGTTATACAGCTACAAACTATGGTAACTTAAAAGGCTGTTACTATCTCCTTTGATGAAGGTTTTTTTACATTAGCAAGAAATCTAACACCCAGAGGTCATCCTCAGAGAGCGACAGTGAAGCAGTGGAATGAATACAGAGGAGTCCAAAAGTATACAAAATTGAACTTACAGATTTAATCTACCTGTAAATATTTGGATACAGAGTGATGGATGCTTAAGAAAATTCGCAGGTTTGACTGACTGGCTCTTTCAATAATATATGAAAGACGACTTCTACTAATATCAACTAAAGTTTTGCACTGGATACCTCTTACACTGATAATTCTTTATGCCTTCAAGAGATATCTCTAGTTCTCAGGGAAGTTGACATAACAGAAGGCTCAAATATATGTAGTATGTACTATGTAGCATTTAGTAGGCAGCAAGAGTAAACTTGCAAACTTATTGCAGCACGGGGCTACAGAATCCTGAGCGAACCTTGTACTGCTACATGATGCAGAGCGAAACTGCAAAGAGACATAAACTAGGTTTCAAAAGTCACCTCAGGAGCTAGCTTTGCTTCTCAACCTCAAACAATTCGGGCACTACATATTGCTTCGAGAGCGAGTTATGGTGGCATCTGAAAATTTCTGTTACAGGATCATGCCTAGCAGTGCAGACACATTGTAAAAGATTAGATTAATTAGAACATGCTATTTGTATTACCACACCACAGTAAGTAATGAGAAAGAGCCAGATCTACGGAGTCAGCTGGGACCTGGGGCATCCGCTGTGCATCGCCCTTTAAGAAGTCAGCAAATAGCCATGTTAACGTTACCGTAACATAACTACATAGAGGTGTCACTGACACAGCGACACAAAAAGAGTAGGAAGTTTTCTTTTAAAAAAGTTCTGTAAGTAAAGATGAGGGCATAGACTAGACTGTATCTTCTATTCACACCATATTAAAGAATCAAAGCAAATGCACAGAGCAGGTGGCATTCATCATTCCCCACACTCTGTTAATACAGTGCAAGCAAGCAAAAGGAAAAAAACGTTTACGTATAATGCTCCAAAAGCATTGTCATCAATTTGCTTACAATAGTAGCTGTCAGAATGGTGAGTCTGGGTTTCCTGGAATCAGAGCTGAGAAGCTTTTTAGCCCCTGAGCTATTGTTTGTATTCATGGGAACTGCATAGGGATGACTCTGGAATCTGTGACAGAAATTGAGTTTTTGTCTGGATAAAGTCCTAAATGATTAATTAGATTTTAAGTGGACCAATCCTTCTCAAAGATGATGTAGCCATTTAACAGAGGGCGTTTACTGTGGATCCTGGAAGATCCACAGAATCAAAGCAAAAAAGATACCCACAAATGTTATTTATTCTGTGTTGCATGTCACTTTTCATTTAAAATTATTTCAATGTTTCACATACTAATTTTTCAGTACAAAACTAAAACATACAGCCTAAGATTCATTTTAAAAAGAGAAACGTGACAGCATCTTAACTGCACTTTTTCAAAAAGTTACACTTGTAAACAAAAAACTCAATTAAAACAGAACTGGAAATTCAAAATAATATGCCTTTCACAGCTGAAAAACCTTCAAGCGACTCAACAAATTCAGTTAACCTATCAAAGGTCTTTAGTCTGCCTTTCTCTCATTCTGCCTGTGTGCCATGTGTGTCTGGGAAACACGGAGCAGGGGTGACAAGAAAATTATCACAGCCAAATTGTTTATACCCCAAGTATAACAGACAAAAGATATCAAGAGGAACCAGTATTAGGAGAAAGACACTGTAAAATGAATGACGTGATGGTATTGTTAGCATTAGGGTAAAGTCTCTTTTAAAATATCACCATACTGTGTGTAATTTGTTAACTAGAAAATTCAACATATCTTTTCTTCAGGAACTTTTGCTAGGACTTGGAAATTTTTCTTCATAACAGCATAAACTAGCCACTGTACTATGCTTATTTATTATTCAACACCAGAATAATCTGATGGGGACAACAGCAGCCTTAACTGCAAACAGCCGAGAACACACACATGATTACTCCTCCAAAGCGTGCACAACAAAGCAGCAAGACAGCTACTGCTTCCTAGTTAACAAAACCAATTATTTCTACACTACATCTGCAAGGCTCTGCTGAAAACCATTTCTTTTTAAAAGTGAATCAAGGTTGTGTAGTGGCTTGTGGACTAGCATTTACTCTATTGCAGAACAAGTATTTTGTCTAAATGCAGCCATATAAAATACAATAGAGTAAAACGAATTAGCGCACAGCAGCTGATACAATTCTTGAATCTGTTCTTGCAAATGCAATTCTTAGCGATGAAAATGTTCCTTAATAGTATTGCTTAACAATATCTTCATTGATCTACTTTATGAAAGTCCTGGGTGATATAATTTGCTTAAAGTATGACTATAAGCAAATCACTAGAATTCCATTATACTTAAAAGCAAAGAAAAAACCCAGTCAAATACACACTGAAGAGTGAGGTCCACAGCTCACTGCAGAACTAGGAGCCCACTCTAGGTATAAATAAAACACTGTTCATAATGAAGTCAGCTGGGATTAGGTATTTCAAAAGAAGTGAATAGATTACTTCAAATACTGTGAGTGCAAGGGCAATCTTGAGAAAAAGAAATCATTCTAAAGCAAGATGTTTCATTAAATATCACAACTATTCAAACCAACACACCCAAACAACGAAGTCTCATATGACTTGTTTAGTAACAGCATGCAGAGTAGCATAGGCAAAACAGCTGTCATTTTCTTTTAGCCTAACAACCTACACATTAATTATTCAAACAATAAATGCCTGTATCTTTATCAGAGACATAATCTGAACACCTGTAATAATTAATCCATAAAAATACAAATACTACAAGAGTACAAGAGTTAATACTGAAAGACAATACAGTGTACACTAAATTCTGCAAATGATTATGTAAGCTAATCAAACTTTTCAATAATATTTGAGTAAGAACAGATCACTTCCAATTCAAACAGACTTGGAATTTTAAGCCTTAATTTGACGATGATTTATTATTTGCATTTCAGTGGCACCCAGATGGCTCCAACAGTGATCTGGGTCCCATTGTCTAGTGTATTTCACAAAATGATGGTATGAAACAGTCTCTGCCTAAGGCAGCCTAATTATGCAAAACAAGGTTGAGAGAAGCATCAAAAGCAAACAGAAGGGATCTGCCTAGTTCATCCAAAAGGTCAGGCAGATCCGGGAACACAGCCATGTTCCTAGTAGCATTTCCCCTACTGGTCCTTACTGCCAGGACAGAAAATTTCTTTTCAGCCAAATATCATCAGTGTGGAAAATGCTTTAGTTGGACCATGAATAGAAAGAGCAGTCTTACACTGTCTGATGAAGATTTTAAGACCAGCAAGCAACATTATGGCCTTTGTGAATTGCTTAATAAGAAAACCCACGAACCGCTAAATTCAGTGTGATTGGGCACTACCACAAGCAGCCCTTAGCATGCCAGGAAAAA